ATTGGAAGATATCTAACTTGAACTATTCAATTATTTCGAGTCTCTTTCGAATATGAAACTGGAAGGGCAATATAGCAAGACTCCGTTGTAGTATTAGCTTTCAACGATTCATTAGAAGATATCTAACTTAAACCATTCCATTTCGACTCTCCTTCGAAAACTACTGAAAGGGCAATATAGCGAGAGTCCGTTGCAAAACAAGCTTATAAAGATCCATTTGCAAAAATGTCTAACTTGAACCATTCGATTATTTCGAGTCTCTTTCCAATACGAAACTGGAAGGGCAATATAGCGAGACTCCGTTGTAAAATTAGCTTTCAACGATTCATTAGAAGATGTATAACTTAAACCATTCTATTTCGAGTCTCTTTCGAAAACTACTGAAAGGGCAATATAGCGAGAGTCCGTTGCAAAACAAGCTTATAAAGATCCATTAGCAAAGATGTTTGACTTGAACCATTCGATTATTTTGAGTCTCTTTCCAATACGAAACTGGAAGGGCAATATAGCGAGACTCCGTTGTAAAATTAGCTTGCAACGATCCATTGGAAGATATCTAACTTAAACTATTCCATTCCGAGTTTCTTTCGAAAACTACTGAAAGGGCAATATAGCGAGCGTCCGTTGCAAAACAAGCTTATAAAGATCCATTAGCAAAGATGTTTGACTTGAACCATTCGATTATTTTGAGTCTCTTTCCAATACGAAACTGGAAGGGCAATATAGCGAGACTCCGTTGTAGAATTAGCTTTCAACGATTCATTAGAAGATATCTAACTTAAACTATTCCATTTCGAGTCTCCTTCGAAAACTACTGAAAGGGCAATATAGCGAGAGTCCGTTGCAAAACAAGCTTATAAAGATCCATTAGCAAAGATGTTTGACTTGAACCATTCGATTATTTCGAGTCTCTTTCCAACACGAAACCAGAAGGGCAATATAGCGAGAGTCTCTTGCAGAATTAGCTTTCAACGATCCATAGGAAGATATCTAAATACGAAGTTAAAATTCATCGCGATATGGCGTACGAAAATTTACGTTCGATTCGCAAATGTCTCGGAGAGGCTATATAACGCGCTCCGATACACCTCGGGCGATATAACTTCGGCAGTCGTTACTTATAAATTATCATCGCGGCAGTTATAACTCATACACCGCGTACGACGCCTTATAACTTACAGCTCCGACCGTATATAAGTTATAAACACGATGCATGGTAATTTATATGTTACCGCTGTTGATGTTATATAGAACCTTAGCCGACTAACAAACGGCATTATTTGATACGAGATTGTAATACCTGGCTATTCTCTTTTTTCTTGTAATTTGCATTATTAGAATTTAAACGTGTATGTTGGATAGAGAAATGTCATTTGCGTTTATGTTGAGGAAAGAAATGTCATTTTTTGCGAGGAGGAAGCGGATTCCTAATTCAGGCAAAATTCAACGAAGCGGTTTCGACAATAAGTATCCTTTATGGCGTACACCAAGGTCGCTAACCTTACTAAGTACCCTCGGGTACTCTTTGGCGCCACTCTCTTCGTGCTTTTAACTCGAATGTACAGGCTGTTCCACACAGCAGGGCTTCGAAATATCAAACACGAAAGTCTTGAGACAAATAAAAAATGTTGAGATCTTTCCATTTTTAGCGATCTCTTTTGAAGCGAATCACGTCAGTCATCCACTTAAAATAGATGATAGTGTCTGAAATATACTCGATGCTTCGTTAGACACTATTTAATTTTTGTTAATTATTTGTCTTACCAGTTGTTTAAAAATTGCGAGGTACATGGGACGTACTGTGTAACGATGTTCGCGTTTGTCATGCAGCAAAAGTGTACTGAACGAAGATAGCACCTTCGCTGGATTAGAATCCTCCAGGGGAGTGTAGACTATATGACGGTAAGATTTATACGAGGGGAGGACGAAGGATACTCGTCGATAGTAATCGATGTATGATGTTCAGAAGAGAATGTCGATTATCCGAAGCTATCAAGGCAATTTGATTAATTTTCTTGCGGTTGTCGAGTTAGTTTTATTCCTGCTGATGCTTCAACGTGATTAATGCTTTTATTGTTAGGTTTTCGCTTCGTGACGAGATTAAGTTCGCTATCGTTTCGATGGTTATTACGTTTTCCTCGATCGCGAGGGTTACTGTGATTGAAAGATCGAATAACAAATTGAATCGATGACAAAAGTTTTCTGGAAAAAGGAGACGTCGATCGAGATGTGTTTGTCGGTCCTTGATCTCGTTAGCTTTTAAAAGCTACGAGAATAAAATCTCTTTTTCCTGTGTTCTTATTTATCGTTAATATCACTGATCGCACATCGCTGGTCCATCTTGGAATGCGAGCCGCTCCGATTTCAACCGCAGTTCCAGCGGTGAAAAATTCTTAACATTACTAAAACCGGCCGATCAGAGGAGGAGAGGTTATCGAATCGTTCCGCTCGATACTGGCCTGTAATTACGAGACGCAATTACATAAATCGCTTTATTTATCTTTGTTAATTAACCACACGCGCTTTGTGATTGGTCGCAATTACAGGTACTATTTTCTCGATAGTTGAACGATCACTCTTTCATGAATAATATGGACTCAACCCGTTTACAAAATCAAGGCAAAGTTTAGGAAACCCATCCAAAAAACTTGTGCAGAAAGTAGAACTATTCTGTATATCAAAATTGCTTCCTTGAGTAAACTAATAGTAGTACTGAATCATATTATCGTTTGTGAAAAAATCAGTCAATTTGGAAAGGTACCACTAGCGCCATCTAGCGTTTGGTGTTTTGGAGCTACTCCTGGTAGCAGGATTGCAGAAAAGCGAGGAGGTATCCGGAGTAAGAGGTCTCCCGCGCAGCCGCGCGTATGCGCGGTACAGCAGGAGTGGGGCCACCTCTCCAACATGGCGGCGCGCCCAGCCTATTATACGGCCATTAAAGAATAATTAATTACTACTTTTTCGAGTATAATTTATATACTTTCGTGATCGAAGAATGATCCCCAAGCCTTTACCTATTTTCTTACACTATATTTGTTTCGATTTCTGTTCAATATAATTAGTTATTAATACTTCGCTCCAAGTACTAGTGGAATAATTAATTTCAATAAAAATCTGAGCAAATGTGTTACGAAAAAATAGATAAAGGCACAGAGATCAGTTTTCAATGATAAAAGTACATAAATTGTACTCGGAAAACTAGTTATTAATTATTCTTTCCTGGTCACTTCGTTTACCGCGTGTGCCGCCATGTTGGAAAGGTGGCCCCACTCCAGCTGTACAGCGCATGCGCGCAGCTGCGCGGGAGACCTCTTGCTCCGGATACCTCCTCGCTTTTCTGCGATCCTGCTACCAGGAGTAGCTTCAAAACACCAAACGCTAGATGGAGATAGCGGTAGTTTTTGCAACAACGCTATTACCTATCGATCTTTCGGAACGAAACTTCGGAATACTGTCACGTTTTGATTCAGTAAAAATTTTGCAAAGAAGCTCCTTTTTCTAAAAGGAAACAATTGTAAGAACGGTTTCTGACTCGAACAAAAAATGTTACTATTCCACTGATAATCTCTACTTTAGCGACAAGATGCAGTACAGAGAGCAAATTGTCCTGAACATATAATTAATATTTTCGAACACATGGAATATATTATAAACAATATAAAATTGATATTAATAAATACATGCTAAATATATGGCATATTAATCAATAAAATTAATATTAATTAAATTTTAAAAAAATTGAACAAGTGGCGCCATCTCTCCGGCGAACTGGGTGAACTACACACTTTTGAAACTGTGGTTTCATTAGTTCCTATGCGGCACCGCTAGATGGCGCCACGTGTACCATTTTTATAGGGTGTTTTCCTATATTTTAAATAGTCAATAAGCAATAACTTTTCAGAAATAACTGATTTATTGAAATTAATTTTGGATTGAGTTTAAATATGTGCTTTTAAATTCAGATATGATCAAGGAACGAATAACGAACGTTTTGCATTTTAAAATACAATTGAACGTAAATAAAATTGAATATCAAGTACTAATAAAATTCTTCTTTATCAACGGCTTGAAAATAGAACTCCTCTTGACCGACGACAACTCCAATGATCACCACATTTTCGAAAGTGTCATTTGTATTAATTTTCTTGAGTTAAATGTCTGTATTTTTGACGAAATTACTTCAGAAAGTGAATAGTAATTATCTTTGGAGTGTTCTACAAGCGTTAATAACCAAACTAATTTGATATATACATGACATAAATTATGTGAATGTATGAACTGTTCCGATAATGGCGTACGCAGCGCCATCTAGTGGTGGAAAATTGGAACTAACGAAGGAGGTGTCTCAAATGCGTGTAGTTCACCCTGTTCGCCGGAGAGATGGCGCCACTAGTTCAATTTTCAAAAAACCCAATTAATTTTGATTTTACTGATTAATATGCTATATATTTGTTATATACGTATTAATATTAACTTTACACTGCTTGTAATATATTCCTAAGGTCCAAAAACACGGATTATATATTCAGAACAATTGGCACACCTGTGTCTCGTCGATCATATAGGAAATGACATAAGAGTGGCAAAATATTTTCTTTCAAAATCTAAGTTATCTGAAGTTTAACCTAAAATTCTTCAAAAGATCTAATATATAATTATGTGTCCATTCTTTCGCAAAAAGATGTATCACAAACTGTACCAATCAAAAATTCGCACACACCATTCGGTACGAACATGACGATAAAAGGGGTACTCCAATCCCTCTCCTCTCTTCATTTCTCTCATTTCATCAAAATATAATCACATTCTGAAATTTGGCTCCGAAACGAGCTAATATTATCCGCACATTTCGAAACAGTCTCAGCACCCAGATTACAGAAATATTTATACATTACGTTCTCATAATACATTCATAAATTTTCTATCCTGATTACAAGAACCTATAATATAATTTCACGGACGCTGATAAATATTTCAGCACGTTACGGTCACGAGCAATCGCTCTAACCGGTACATCTCGAAAGCGTTCATAGGAGAAAGAGCCATTTCTCCCCTACTCTTACACCTGAAATAGCCATATAAACCTCCGTACTATAATTCATAGATCTCCCACCTCCGTTTAACTTGATCTTGATTTTCGAAAGGGAACAGCTGGTAACGGCAGTCGGGTGTTCGACGGTGTAACGTTCGGACATCGTGGAAATCGAGTTGCACGGAAATGCGTATTAACCCCACTGTCAATGCTGCCACATCCGCGAGACCGTTTAAGGATTCGATAATCGATCATCCGTGATCGTGTCTGCCGGCAGTTCGTTTAGAGCGACCACTGCAACGTTTCGAGTCCTGCTGCGAACGGATAACGGAATACGCTTCTATCGATTCGCGCGAAAAGTCGCCGGTCCAAAACGGGTCACACGCGAAACGTGCTACGACGGAAAAAGATTTCGACACGTTTGACAGCGCAGTTTAAGTAGCTCGTGTTTCCTGTCATCGCTCTAATCAGCAGCTGCATCCGGAAAATTCTGCCATTCGATTGTTTCGGACCTCGTTAGAGGTAAGTGAACCGGAAGCTTGGCCGTCGGAATACCGATTACTTTTCATAAACAAAACGCGGTGATTAACCGCGGGAAAATTGTGCGATTAGTCTGTGCTCATTGTGCGTTCATTTTGCAACGATTCGATCTTTCTAAGAAAGCATCGGTGGTTGTGAGATTAAGGTGTTCAGGATAAAAATGAGCAGAGTTTGATATCGTAGAAAATATATTAGGGGTACCGAGAAGTATTCAAAATTTCTTTGACGACTTCAAAGTTTTTCAATTAAAAAGAGGACGGTTTTTAAGAAGGGAATCGAACAATTACGCTGATGAAAACCGTTAGAAAATGATGGAAATTATTTTGTTGATTAGTATTTAAGATTTCTTTAATAAATAAATGTTTTTCGTCAGCAAACAAAATTTTCTCAGAAAGTACTTACGTGTGTAAAATCTTGCGCGGGATTGCAGAAAATTCTGCAAAGAACTACACAAAAGGACTTCTTCCTAAAATTCTTCAAATTAAAATTAATATCCAAAATTAATATCTAAAAATGTCTAAATTAATTCCTAAAAATTTTTATGAATTTCTAAATTCCTAACTTTGAAAACTGACGAACGTCCAAGTATAGATTTTAATACTAGCAAAGAACTGGTTAGGCGAAGAATTCAAAAAAGAAGATTGAGATAAGTTTGTTAGCAAAACAGATGATCACATCACAGACAGTTGTATAACGAAAGAAACGAGGAAAAGACGTTTAGTGTGCCTCCTAATTCACGGCGCTTATAAAGCAAACCACAAACACTCAGTACCATGAAATTTCAAAGGAAAGTAATGATCTAACCTGTTATCTTTGTTTAACGACAGAACGAGATGCTAATTTGAGGATTACGAAATAACAGAGTATCAAGAAGCTTATCAATTAAATAAAAATATTCGATTGCATCAATCTTCAGAGTTCTTATGATCTTTCTGATATTCTGATACCCTGCGAATGGCTCTGAAATTAATTCAGACAGCAGCACCTTTGCAAAAGGTCCCAAAGTTGTCAAATTTTAAAATCGTTCTCCCTTCAAGATGAACCTTAAACAATATTTGAATGAAAGTTACGTAACACCGTAAGAGAGACAGTATATCACAGCTCTGATATGAATTATCACTGTTCATCTGAATTGCTAATTTAACAAGAAAAAAAGTGAACGAATTTCACTTGTCACTCGATAAAAAACATAATTACAGCATCAGAATAATTGAACCAGTAATTTCTGAATAATTTTCGCGAGTCTCATAAATATTTAGTCCAGGTTCGCTCGCGTTTCAAATTACCTTCGTCAGCGTTGAAAACCGATGACACCAAAAATATTTGATCGCTGACTCGCTAGCGTATCGAACGGTAACATCGTGTAAGAATGTCACCGATCTTCGCGCGCTAAAACGTCAAACGTCATATTTTTTTTATTGTCTTTACGATCAGAGACAGCGCACAGAAATTTCTGTTCAATGACGAGAGACGTATTTGCTCGTTCACTTTCATCCTGTTACGCGATCCACGAAAGTTACACAAAAATACCGACCACGTGGAACTTGGTCAAAAACCGATTGGTCGCCGGAGATGTTGTTCGAACCATCCACGCGAATTTCTCCGGTGAATTTACTTTCTACATTCGCCTATTTTCGTTCGCTATTACGCGTCGCTATCCTCCGCTGATCGTCTACCATCTCTCTGGGTTGCCTTGAAAACGAGAACGTTCGCGTTATACAGCTTGGACATCGTCATTCAACTTCTATGAGTGTCGCAAACATCACACGTCTATGGTTAGACTTCTTAGGATCTGAAAATTTAACTTGAGAGTTCCGTATTGTAACACGATATCTGCCATTTTGGAGCAAAATATCTGAGTAGCACAGCAAAGTACTTAACCCTTTGCGCTCGAGAGGCGCCATTCGATTTAATACAATAATTTAAAAGAAGCATTATTTAATTAATTCTATAATAGTGCTTGTGTGATGTATAAACAAAGTGAAATAGACCACTGTGGAAATTATTAGCAGAGAAATAATAACTTCAAAAGAAGTCATTTAACATTTTAACTAATATTTTAAAGTTGCTGTTTGCAAACAATAAAATTATTATTTTATTATTATTATTAACCCTTTGCGCTCGAGAGGCGCCTCTTAGGCGCCATTCAATTTAATACAATAATTTAAAAGAAGCATTATTTACTAAATTCTATAATAGTGCTTATGTGATGTATAAACATAGTGAAATAGACAATTGCGGAAATTATTAGCAGAGAAATAATTACTTCAAAAGAAGTCATTTAACATTTTAACTAGTATTTTAAAGTTGCTGTCTGCAAACAATAGAGTGCAAAGGATTTATTTTCGAAAACTCGATGACGTACTAGGAGGAATTCGAGACAGGTGCAACTTTTTCCTCCGGATTACCGATTGCATCTGACCCGCTTCGATCTAATCCCGATCCCCTTGACCACGTACTTTCTATGGAAGTAAACTTGAACGGGACCAGTTTCGTGTACACCGCGAACCATGGGAAGCTAACGGACGTTCTACCGTTATAAAGGGTTCTGACATCTATGTACTCGACCTACGAAGTATCAAATGGCCTGCAGTAGCCTGCTTAGGGAAAAGTGTAACTCTAGGTCAATGTTCTCGCCTCGAATCAGCTCTTTCGAATCTTCCAAACACTTGGAATTTCTACCTCGATCGCCGCTTTTCTTTTGCTTCACTCTCGGCTTGCTGGGTGATGTACATTTCTATTTGCTAATTGGTGAGCTTCGGGTAAAAGAATTTCAGAGTAGAGTTTTAGAATCATAGAGTATGACAAAATTTTATATTTGTGTGAAGAGTGAAATGTGCAAGTTTGATCATTATAAATGCGATCATCCTTTTGTATGAACTCTGTGGACAGGTCTAGTTATACACTACCGTCCATAAGTATCCGGACACTTGGTTTCGTTACATAAAACATAGTCGAACTTTGTACGAAAGATATTTAGGGTTATCATATCATTTGTAATAATTATTATTATCTTTTTCGAGGTGTCATAACGTAATAGAATTAATTTTTAAGTACAAATTATAGTACAAATTAATTCATGTCCAGAAGTACAAAGTCCAAATTTGTGAATCTAATGAAACGCTTTCGATTCTAAAAAAAATTTTCATTTCTACTGTGTTTCATTTCTATGGTGCAGAACGTATTCAGAGGGTTCTTCGATATGTTTCAAGTGTTCGTAAACTGTTGGTAGATGTTTAGGTTCCCTCAATGGAGATAAGAATGGAGGTAACGCTACGCACTCGACAGTTTCGGTTTAGTTCGTCTGTAGCTTCTTTTCCATCGAGATACGAGTTCCAATCGAGAATTATCAATCGAAAAACGTTCCAGTATTCTGACCTTCGCAGAAAAAAAATCGATTTTAGTTACTGTTGCAGATACTTGAATAACTTTCATGCAACGCGAATGCATATTTCGCTTGTGTCCGGATACTTATGGACGGTAGTGTACATAACTCTCTGAAGAATTATATCGAAACATAAAATGAGGCATTAATATCTTATAGTAAAGGATTGTCAGAGTGAAGATGTAATAGTGAATTAATAAAACGTAGATAAACTCTCTGAAGAATTGTATCGAAAAATAAAATGAGGATAAATGAAAAATAAAAAATAATGAAAAATGAAAAATAAAATTACTACAAGATCAATAGTAGTAAAGGATTGTCAGAGTGAAGACGTAATAGTGAATTAATAGAATGTAGATGAACTCTCTGAAGAATTATATCGAAACATAAAATGAGGCATTAATATCTTATAGTAAAGGATTGTCAGAGTGAAGATGTAATAGTGAATTAATAAAACGTAGATAAACTCTCTGAAGAATTGTATCGAAAAATAAAATGAGGATAAATGAAAAATAAAAAATAATGAAAAATGAAAAATAAAATTACTACAAGATCAATATCTTGTAGTAAAGGATTGTCAGAAGACGTAATAGTGAATTAATAGAATGATGTCCGATGGCTCTCAAAGAATGAAATTAAAACCCAAAGTACACAAGCTAATTCTCGTTATCGTGAACGTGGTAATCTCGCTTTTCCGGTATCAGCTAGGGATTTCTCTTTCTTTGTATACGCACGCACGGGAAAAAGAATACATAGATTTACCGGCGATTGCTTCCGGGAAATGTCAGCGATCAACACTAACGATAACAGTGTGATTAACAGTGACCGGAATTGGTCCGAATTTCTGCACGAGACTAATAATATCTATTACCAAACGTAAATTACCTGCGTTGCTCAACGTCTTTAAATTACATAAAAATTTACCTTAAAAAATCACGTTTCGAAGTACGGTAATTACGCGTGCTGCAGAAACCGGCAATTTGCATTCTACATAGAAAAAACGGAACGTAAAATTAGAAGTCATAGATCTTGTGAAACCGTCAAAGCGTTGAGTAATACGTTCCGTGCTTTTGAATTTATTTCAAGAATACCTGTTTCCATGTATTTGTCTTTCGTCGCTTTAAAAGGGCGATCTAGTACTGGGGATTATGTAACGCTGAATAAACTTAAAAAGGAATTTCGCCAAGGACACCTTTTCCACTTGTTTCGCGCACAAGTGTTTTCTTCTTATGGAAGGTCTTGAGCAAGAACCCTTTTTAGATGTACTTTCAGGTGAATCGCAGACTTATTCGCGTTTTTATGAAAATTCACGGACGTACTCATGAGTGCAACATTTTTTGTTCCTTCGTGACGCGATAATCGTTGCAAAATGAACGATCGATCATACAAAATGTATTAAGCAGTTTTTACTGCCGGTTTTTTACTGTCGGTTTTTTCTCTCATAATGAAAATGTACGTAAATTTTGACCTTTTATGGACCAAACGAAGACTTTCAAATTTCGTAACTTCCGAGTAGAGTTTTGAAAGTTTGAAGCATTAGGACTCGAGCTGACACGACACGTCCCGTGGGATCGCGATAATTTGTACTCGAATCAGATGCGCTGAATAATAAATAGGCGAGACCACCCGAGTGATTACTATCAAAGAGTCGATAGGATTAGAATTCTTAATGAAAACGTCCACGGTCCACGCTGAAACTTGTTTGTATTTATTTCAATGTCGTTGAACCAGCTCGTTTAGAAAGGAACGGTGCAATACAGCAGGAAATTCTTTCTGATTAAATTGTTAGGACATGAATATGTAAACGAAAAGTTGAAGGTATTTGGGGCACGAGATGAAAACTAACGAGACGTGTCGAAGAAATATTTTAATTTGATGCGTTTTAGCAATTGCAAATTAACTTGTTGACTTCGCGTTAACACAAATAAAGTCATGAGGCTTCAAAGTTCCAAGGTCCCGAAGAAAAAATTTATTTATGAGGTCATAAAAAATGTATACGTAAGGTCACAGTAACGTTATGGATCCACGATATATTTTCCTACAACAGAAACATTTTTTTAATATTCTAGTATTCGAAATTAATTTTTTCTCTTGACTATATATTTCTTAAATCAGTTCTATTTTTTTGTAGAATTAACTTGTACGCAAAAAGCGTCACCGTGCGTGAATTTATGGTTCACACTTGTACGATAATGATAGGAAAAAGGGGTAATTGAATTTATTGGCGACAGAATGTGGAAACTGTGTCATTTCACGCATAGTGGTTCGCGTTGCGAAATATAATTATGTAGAATTTCTTATCGATTCTATTTTCAAGGAAAGTTTTGATACTCGTAGATTTCGTGAACGTTGAAGATGCCAGACCAGGCGATTATTGTCAGGAACGCCAGAAAGCAATATGGCGGCGGACATGTGGTGCTGAACGATATAAATCTGAATGTGCCACGAGGATGCATGTGAGTATCGTAATAAACTTAATTGTTAACAACTTGATTTTTTCTGAGAGGTCAATTGCAGTCATTAATAGGTAATAAAGAGTAATGAATGTATAATCGATCTACATCAATCTGACAGATGACAAGAACATAAAATGAGTCTAACACAGAAACAAGAAGAAAAGTGTTTCCAATTACTGTATGCAAATTTTATGTCTGCGTTCATTGTTCAAGTTCATTACAGTTCGCATTTTCCTATTTACTCGCAAGGTTGTTTGAAGAATTAAAACTTTTTACTAATATGTGAAATTTTATTCTGCAATTTTTTCATTTTTTTCTGTAACTTTAAATAATAAATATTGATTAGATACGGACTGCTGGGTGCCAGCGGGTGCGGAAAGACCACCCTGCTCTCTTGCATAGTTGGAGTTAAGAAACTGGACGCTGGGGACATTTTGGTGCTCGGTGGGAGACCGGGGAACAAAGATTCCGGAATCCCAGGACCCCGCGTTGGTTACATGCCGCAGGATATTTCGCTAGTCGACGAATTTTCCGTGATCGGTGCGCTCTACTTCTTCGGCAAGATCAATGGCTTGGACAAAGACACCATTGGTGGGTTTTCACTCTTTTTTCCACTTCGAATAAATGAAACTGCAGAACATTCGCATTAGTGCTTGTATCAACCCCTTGCATTAATTCATCAGGCTGAACTAATCACAGCAATATTCAAACAGACAAAGAAACTTGAAAAATGGTGTGTTAAACTAAATAACCAAAACTGCAGAAAATACACACGAGTGCTTGTATCAACCCCTTGCATTAATTCATCAGGCTGAACTAATCACAGCAATATTCAAACAGACAAAGAAACTTAAAATGTTCTGACTGTGTTAAATGGTGTAAGAAAACAATTACTTGCTAAATAAACCTTCTCAAGATTTCGCGAACATTTTACACCTTTCAGACGAGAGATACATATTCCTGAAGGATCTTCTCCAGCTACCACCACAGGATCGTCTAGTGAAGAACATGAGCGGAGGTCAGCAAAGGAGAGTATCCTTCGCAGCAGCCCTGCTGCACAAACCAGAACTGCTGATCCTCGATGAACCCACCGTAGGGTTAGATCCGGTGTTAAGGGACAAGCAAGTACACTTTCCTTTCATTTCTTTTGCATCTCCCGCTCGAACGAAGTCGAACAGTTGCGTTATACGAGTATCTTTTACACAGCATCTGGAATCACTTGGTGAAAATTACGCAGGAGAAGCAAGTGACGGTTATCATAACAACGCATTACATCGAAGAAGCGAAACAGGCTAATAAGGTACAGCATCTTGTCGAAAGATTGAAATTCTTTTATGATTACCTTTTGTGCAAATTAATGGAGGCGATCTAGCATAAATTGTTAGTTTAGAATGAAATGACGAAGTCAACTTAAGCGATTAAATCTGTAAGCGTTAATTATGCATTGGTGGAACTAGCGACTCATCGCCCGTATTTTCTGATCAAATATTTTGTACCGATAAAACGTACTGACATTTAACTTGTTAAATAGCTTAGAAAACGATCTAACAGCGAAATATCAATTATACTAATAATATCAGAGGTAGATATATGATTTTTGCGTAATAAAAATTGTCAAATATTTTCTTCTCATCAAATTTAGCTTAGTCGACACAAATAAATTCGGAAGCATATAGTACATTAAATATTTTTTAATTTAGATCTGAAAGTACCTAACCTAAAATTATGGTTTAGATCGGATTACTCAGAAACGGTCAACTGTTGTCCGAATCGTCACCGAACGAGTTGCTAGAGGAATGGCACACCGATTCCTTGGAAGAAGCTTTCTTGAACTTGAGTCAATTACAAGTTCAAAATCAGTTAGATAGACGTGCATCCAACGTCACGCATAATGCCATCGCCATGGATTCACACAGCAGTTACACATCCAAGGTGCTACGATATAAATCATTTATAAGTTTAACTTTTTCTATTTTTTTTCGTGTACCATTGAATCAGAAGATCGATGAATAATTCATTAGTATGAAAAAATGTCATACATTACCGATTATCACGTATTACTACGAATAATTTTCTGGTATCATTTAACATTCACATTTTTTATTAAACGCAAAGTGGCAAACGAGATTAAATGCCAAAATTAGCAAGTCATTTAATCGCGTTAATATTCGTATTAGAAATTTGAAAATTCAGTTATTTAATTTATTTTCCTAGACATAGAACAAATGCAAATGGTACTCTGCGAAGTATTAATAGAAATGCAATCTTTTGTATCAATCTTAAAATTTTAAAGTAACTTTTCGCGTCATCAAACTTCGTCGTTTCGTAACTTAGCTACAATGTATGTAGCAAAAAATCACTTTGCAATAGAAAAAAAGAATCTGGTTTGATCGGCGATGAATGATTAAAAAGATGTAATCTTCGTTAATGGAGAAAGAAAAATTACATAGTCAGATGAATAAATTATCGCGTGACCGTTCTAAATTATCGTAAAACGAAGTAAGTAATAATAAATATACAAAATTCTATCGCAGACGATGCAATTGAGAAGCAGCTGGAAGAAGAGGTGCGAGGCGCTGCTGCTGAAGAATTTCTATCAGTTCGTGCGTCATCCAGGGTAACCGATCAATTATTTATTAAGTACACAAATAAAGAACCGTGACAATCCCTCTTCCTCCACAGAGGAATACTGTTCTCTTTCGTCCTACCGATAATGCAAGTGATACTATTCTTCAACTCCATCGGTCTCGATCCGAAGAATCTGAAAATCTCCGTCGTGAACGAGGAAGCTGGGAATTGCAACAACGGAAGGAACTTCGGCAACGTCAGTTACAACTACGACGACTTCACTTGCAATTTCTCCGATCTGAGTTGCAGATTTCTGTCGGAGATCAACGACAGCTTTCTGAGGAAGGTACGCATAATTTAGGTTAGAAGAAACATAGGCGAGCTATTATTACTCGAAGGGACGAAAGTTGTAATACTTTGTGGTATTCGAATTGTGCAAGAGGAAACGGTAATTTAGAAAGGAATGCAATAATGATCGGTTGAGTTTAATCGCCAGGTGTACTACGACAGCTTCGAAGAAGCGTTGAACCTCGCTCAGAAGGATAGAAGCGTCGCGATCATGCATTTCAGGAGGAATTTTTCCCACGCTTCGCAAGCGAGACTGGACGATTATCTATCGCTGTCTGAAGAGGACATCGTGAGCGGCCAAATAGAAGTTACGATACAAACTGCAGGTAGGAGCACCTATACGCACAAGTCCATCAGACTTCTACATTTCTCTAAGGTCCTTCAAATTCTCGGGGATGTCCCACTTGGACGCCGACCGATTGGACGGTTCCGATTCGAAGCGGTGCCGATTGGACGCGTCCCAATTCGAAGCTGTTAGATTAGGTTAGGTTAGGTTCTATAAGCTCTGCTTGGAACGCGTCCGATCGGCACCGCTTCGAATTGGAATGCGTCGAATCGGGACCGTCCAATCGGTCGGCGTCCAAGTGGGCATCACTCAAATTCTCTAATGTCCTCTAAATTCTTGAATGTCCTTCGAATTAATGCGATTAGTTGTCTTCAATGAAATACATTGTTTACTTTCCTGAAATTTATCGCTTTTCCTTCCTCTAAATTCTTGCATGTCCTTCGAATTAATGCGATTAATTCTTCAATGAAATACATTGTTTACTTTCCTGAAATTTATCGCTTTTCCTTCGAACACAAAGTGCGATCAGATACACGAATGAACAAATATCTTTCAGACAGGCAAATCAGTATATACCTGCAGAAGAAGTTGTACGACTTCTTCTTCGAGAAGTACGACACGATCATGAAGCAGTGTAAAATCAGACCGAAATTTGCTAAGATACCGGTGAATGTACGTATACAAGATTAACGAACGAAATGCGATAACACATGTTACATGTCACTTTGATGTTTCAGTTCGAGGAGCCAATATTTGGTAAGAGGGATCAGAACTTCGTGTCGTTCGCTGCACCGATTTTCATCTTGCTGTAAGTTCTACAAACTTGATAACCGTTTTATATCTTTCCTTATGAAACACGTGTTCTTAGGGTGCTTTTTGTGCAAACAACGTCGCTTTGTTCAAGCATAATTATTACCGATCGACATTCTGGTGTCTGGGATCGACTCTGCGTGCAAGGTAAGCATACACAAATAATCTTGACACTGTGAATGTACAGTTTCATCTACAAATATTGCAGATCAGACATTTACAATTGAAATTCTTGTATTCAACGGTATTAAAGAATTGTAGTCAAATTGTAATCAAGAATTGTAGTCAAAACGAAATTTTCAACTTTCTCGACAGTCAAAGTGTATGTTTAAAACAGGTGTCACCACTACGGAAATTATAGCCACCCATCTGGCAACGCAAGTGTTCCTGACTATTTTGCAAACCGCGGTTGCAATGATAATATACTTTTCATTATCGGACTCGGAGTGCAAAGGATCGATAATCACCGTCATATTAATGTCGTTACTAAGTGGACTGTGTGGGGTGTGTTACGGTAAGACTCATTAATTCGTCACAACGCATTGACAAATACTTTGTTAAATAATATCTTTGTGCAGGTTTTACGATATCCGTGGTGTGCACTTCGCACACTCTTGTTAATTATGCGTCGGTCGGAAGTTTCTACCCGCTGGTCCTTCTGAGTGGTAAATAGCTTCCGTAATCAATTACGATAGTTCGTAACATTAATAGGTTGTTCACACTGGCATAGCTGACATTATCGATTTTTCATAAGTAGATTATAAATAAATCTCCGCATATGATACATTGTCTCCACATATTTTTTTAAGGATATGTTTGGCCAGTGGAAGGAATGCCGAAGCTACTGCGATGGATCAGTTTAGCCTTGCCTATAACGAAGCCAGGAATCTCGATGAGGGATATAGTGGAGAAAGGATCGTCGATCGATCAACCGGAAGTGTATCTAGGATTCATAGTAATGGCAACGTGGATTATATGTTTGGTGACGTTTTGCGTGATCTACTTAAAAGCGAAGTCGACGTAATGGAAGGACAAAAGTGCAATAGTGAAAAAGGTTTCACAGGGTCGCATCCTAAAGTACCTAACTGCGTAGTTATATTCGTTGGAACGTTACGATAATCGAGGAAAACACATGTGTAATTTAATTTAGACTCTGACAAGACAACTTGCGAGTTGCTTTTGTGATAAATGTTGCCTGTATGTTTAAGCTCTAACACGTAGGTGTAAGGTCCAGTCAGCGTGCTGTCGTTAATAAATACCGGTAATTGTTTTTTCACTCGAATGATCAATTTTCAATGATATTAACATGTGGTGCTAATCGATATTTTTGCTTGAAAGAGAGCAGATCTGATCGATGCAGTTTACAATGTAGGGCATGTTAATTTTCACTGTGATAGTGTAAATAAATATTATAGAATAATGCAGAAACAAGTTTACTTTAATTTCGTGACGAAGAAAATTATTTTGAAGGAAAGAAAGAAACACCTCGTTCAATGAAACATAATTCGTCGATTTCGATTTATTGATCTCCTCTTACACGGTTTCTGTTCACGGATATACATGTGTTACGACACTCACTATATACCGGATTAACATAGTATACAAACATATACAACGTGCGAACTATACGTGAACGTTTTTTTTATTTTTCATTTATATCTTTTTTTTCTGCTGCTTTTTTCAATTTCATGGTTACGTTAGGCTCGAGTATATTATCGATTACGTTATTGGGACACGTCACATCGACCATTGATTCCGGAAAGAAAAAGAAAAGCGAGGAGTCAAGGGCGTAGAGTTTTTCCTCCAAGAAAATTTAAGGAAGATAACGTCACGTTATACCTCGCGTGACCCAGGACTGCCTGGCACTTAGGTGAAACATCGCGAAATAAATCGTATCACGATCGAATTCGAAATCTAACGCTACTAGCTTGTCGGAGCTTGTATAAGGTCATTGCAGAAAGTTCCTGTCGATTACATTTTAAAACGAATTTTGATCGTTTCAAACAATTTTAATTGCACGAATTTTTTCAATGACCTTCATCCACCCACCGTGATGCTTTTTTATAGACAACTTTGCGTACTCGGCGAACTCTTGCACTCCTCTTACTGGATTGTAACGTTCTCTCATAATTTTTGGTAGAAATTATTTAACCTACAGTTTGTTCGACACATAAAACTCGATTATTCCTTAATCGAACAAACTGTAGCCTTTAGAGAAATAATTGGAGTGCAAGGTTTCGACAATTAAAAAGCATATCGAAAAGAAATGTCGATTAAAAAAGCAAATACGATCAATCAAACACTCGACGCGTTTAATTCTGAATATTTTTTCGAACCAAACACGCATCCTTCCTCGATCACTCTCAGCCTCTATTTCTCATCACCAGCGTATACAAAATATGGTTATTTTGATTTCTTACAAGTCCGGCCTGGTTTACGCTCTTCTACGTAAACGCTAATCTACGATTTTCGCGAAATCGTCGTTGAGGTTTAAAAAATATCGAACTCAACGAACGATCTGAGATCACGTTTAATCTAAAACTCCAAGCGGCTAAAAACGAATTGCCATATCTGAAATTCATAACACCAACTTGTTCAAGTGTTTATTCGCTGCTTTAGATTTTACGCAATGCTATGAACTAATGCAAAACGCTTAACGCATTCGAGACCGGCGCATATGGTTAGGTGAGTTTCTTACGAAAATAAAATGATAGCGAAGATTCAAATGGTACAGTAGTGAAAACTACTCGTCACTGATCTATAGAAACACTGTATGACTAAATTAAAATTCATGCTGAAGTTTTAACCCGGTCCCGATTGAGTTAAGTAATAAAAGATAATTTGCAGATTCTTGAATAAAAGTTCAGTCTGCGTTATTTTCATGTCTAACAAGCTATCGAGTAAAAATACAGGCTTAAAATGGATAAAAGCGGTTCTAGGATAAAATCCTTGTTCTTCATCAAGCTTCAACCTACTTTTGTAAGTTTCCAAATAAGTGAAAATGAAAAGTTTATTAGTCGAGTCACATCGACATCAAGGTACATGCTGGCAAGCTTTCGAGTGCTTGCGGAGAATACTTCGGATGTTAAAATATTCGATCGTTAATTTTAGTGATGTGCTAAACGCGAATTTATGCGATAACCATTACTTATCTGCAATTAACGATCCAAGAAATAATTCTACGTTTCAGAGCTTGAAAGACGGAAAATGAGAAAAGATAGAAGCAGTGCTGGGAAATTATTTAAAAATATTACTTCTCCCTACTCGACGTGATTCTCAGACATTAACGGACATTTGTAGACCCTTGAAAGTAAAACGGTTCCAAAAGTTAAACTCTGATAAATCTTTCTGCAATCTTTCTCAAAAATCAGATTATCGAATTATTGGACCAATTGCTATCCATTCGACATTCAAACATTATGTCCCTATTAGAATATTTAAAAATTCTAATTAGTCATAAAATAATCGTGTACATTTTTAAACGCGAGGATAAAAACTGTACAAAATATAAAAAACGATCGCAAAAACTGATCGGTTAAAAATCCCATCGTCTAAAACGGTGGCATCAATTCCATCTTCAAACTGAATTTATCTTAAGTTTCAATTTTACTGTTTTGAGTGTATCAAACAACTTTTCACGACGACATAATCGAAATATCTGATCTGTCACAAAAATCACATAAGCTCCCGTTCGTTATTGTCTTCCATTAACCGCTCAACCGGAAACTTCCAATACACGATAAATTTTTGATTGCAAGTATAAAAAGGAAGTCCGGGTTGAGAGTTTAACGATCGTGAAAATAAATGAAATGAAAAGCGAAACACCCTGTGTGGAATCCGCGCGTTCCCCAGCACCGCGATCAAACAAAAACCCTAATCGCGGTCCCTAAAGCACCGAATGTTCTCGTAGGCGTGTACGTTCTTGTTGTTGTTGATGTAGCTGTTGATGTTGTTGCTGTTAGCCGTGCTACTAACGCGACTGGAGCCGTTACTACCGCGATTGTTCGTAGCAGTATTAGTACGTTTAGCAGTAAGGCAGGGGCCGCATCGGATTGGCATGGGTCGAGCAGCAACGAGACAGTCAACTATCTGTCTTACAGTAGGCATGCAGGTTTTGCTGTACCCTGGAAAACACATATCACATGCTCCATCAGAACCGAACCACGCATCGACTTCTATCACGCTATCTATCGGCCCACGTGTCCTCTAAACTACTCTTTACTCCATCCGTTCGAACCGAGAAAGAGATCTCAAATCTTAGAGAAAATTTAAAAATTGTAAGGATTAAAATTTGGCACCCTTCCCTCTAATATTCGCTCTCGTTAGAATTTCTCGCAAAACGAAAACAGATAATCGCGGAAAGGCACAAAAATTGGAAGTACGTAATGGAAGACAGTTATCTCTTTCTCCGATTCTTCGAACACGTGGATCTTGTTCAAATATTTAAGTTTCATTCGATTGCATGATAGAAGTCGCGTTGGCCAAACACGTATTTCGCGTGTCTCGCGAGATCATTCAGAATACAGACACAAAAAAAAACGAAGATACAGGAATAGAATAAAAAGAGAAGCGGAAGTCGGTCAGAAACAAGGGCGGCCTAAGGCCGTTCTCTTCAGTCGCACAGATTTTCTCAATTAACCCTTTGCGGTCGAAGGCCGGCATATGTCCAGGTAGTACTTTGATTTTCGCTTCATCGTAAGAAAAATAAATGAATTACGATCTCTTTCAAAAATACATCTTTCGAATTTACATATCTCGAATTTGTGATTGCGCCCCCAAAGGGTTAAACAGTCAATTACCGTCAGCTTGAGCATTTTTCGCCACCCTCGTCTATCTACTTACTATACAAAGAGGTTTACTAGAGAAAAGGGGGTGCAAGTAGTACTTGCTTAGCAAGACTTAACCCATAGACTGGCAAACGCTCGTATCAGAATTAAAAATTCAAACAGCACAAAATTAATTTTAATTTTCACAAAATATACAATTTTCACAAAATATAAACTTTTCACAATAACATATTTTTTAGTACCTCAGTAACAAATATTACGAACATCTACTTTATTGGTTTCCCAAAAAGTGCCAGTCTACCGATCAACGAAAAACGTAAGTGGAATAAGGGGATGTGTTCAGAACAAAAACAAGAATCGTCCGCAAAATGATTTGCAATGACGTTAACGGTGGAGGCACGATTACCGAGGCAGTTTAGGCACTATCAAAACACAGGTACGCCTAAGAAGCTCAGCCATAATTTCAAACAATAATCTTTCCATTGCACCTAAGCGACCGAGTCACAATTCCATCGGACTTGAGCAACATCTCAACGAAACACAAATGTTCTCTAAATAAAAAATATAGGTACGATTTCATCACAGATGCAGTGGAGATTCGCCGTGGGAACAATGATTCGCCATTAGGATTTCTTAAGCGAAATTCATGACAAAGAGAAAGAGAAAGGCGCATGACACCGTGCAACAGGATACAAAGATACAAAAAGGAAAGACTGATCGAACCGTTTATACGTTGGAAAATAACCTCGTGTCTGAGCAAATGCGTTAACCCCCTTTCGGGACACGTTCTTCTATTTCAACTGTAGTACCAAAGAAACTATGAAAGTTAATCGAAAGATTTTTCGTCAACGAATACGGTATAAAATACGAGATTATTTTTCAACGTAACGTTGGTTCGACGAGTACCAAAGTCAAGGAACATTTTTCCCCACAAACTTTCGCTTAAATTGTAAAAAAATTAATACTATGATCATGAACATACACAGCGATACGCCGTACAGGAGTAAAAAACACGATCTACAAAGGTATCAAAAAAGAATTGGCACGTATCAATGAAACGTTTTGGCAGACGCAATGGAGAGAGATCCTTATCGACGATACACGCGCAAGATAAAAAACTGAGATCAGCGGGTAATCCTCGAAGCGGCATTAAAAAATGACAATTTATGCTGATCGATGTACCGTAGCCCATCGTATCGTATCACTTAGCGTACTTCGTACAATAACTCTTTATAATTAATCGAAACGATTTCGTATAATATTGACACGTAATTTGTAGGATTGTCTCGATGATCTGCTGGTTCCGATGCGTTCTCGAATGTCTTCTTATCGACGCACCTCCGGCGACGATATTTTCGACTCAATCAGCAGAGGTTCCTTTGGATCAGTTCGTTTCTTCTAGAAAGAAATTCGCGAAGGCGTTCACGTGTACAGATATTTTAGAACTCTTTCTATCCACGATCAACGTGCGTCGATCAAGTCGAACCTTTAACTTCGATTTGGCGCGAACGATTTTCGTAATTAAATAGAATCTGTGAATAGGATTAATCTTGGCGTTGATTTCGCCCCGGGGAAATAACCTGTTTCCCCGAGTTATAAATATGTATATGGATCTTGAGGATATGCGGGTATACGTTCGGGCGAAGTCGGAAAAAATCGAGCGGGACGGTCGAATCAAAGTTTAGAATCTCTTTGTTAATCGAGAAATTTTCTAAGGCCTTCGGATATCAAATTCGTCCGAACCCGAGCGACTTCGTGCGACTCCGAACCGGAAATGTCGAATAGCCGCACATCCCCAACATTTAGTTGACTAGAACTATCGTATAACGTGAAAAATCTCTCGTCCTTCGAAGACGACAGGTTAGCGATCAGAATTATCACAAGATAGTCGATAAGTCTGCACTCTAAGGTTTGCAGGTGACCTAACCCTAAATCGTGTCACGTACAGAATAATATATGTATATAATATTTTATAATTGTTTCATGAATGAGCGGGTTTTTTAAATCTTCCATTACAGAGCCGTCTCCTTCTCGCTGATTATCTTGATGCCGTGTTTAGTCAGGATCATCTTTACCGTTTCGTTGTCTCTGGCCTTCATTTTTTCCTTCTGATCCTCAAAATCGTCCTCCCTGTCCAGACTGTCCACGAGGGAGTCCAGGTTGTCCGTCGACGAGTCAACGTATCGCACGTTGTCCGCGGATCTCTGCAAGGACTTGCACCGTCTGGAGCTCTTCGAGGCACGTATGTTGTCCGCAGACCCGATCAGTTTGTTGTTCTTGGACCCGAGAACCTTGTCGTTGCTTCTGGAAGACGTTTTCGCTAACTGAAGATTGTCGACGGACGAGTAGCGTCGTTTATCCTGAGAAACATTCGTCGGATCCTCGGTTGGCTTTTTCCTCAACAAAGATCCTTTGCGATTTACGCGTCTGGAGCCGCTGGACAAGATGGCCAGTTCGTCCTTCGGGATAAAGTACTTGTCTCTGGACCTCTTGTTCGAGAGGAACGAATCCGAGAAGTCGAAGGACTCTGATACGATGTCGGTTTCCTGTTTCCGGTCGCTCGTGGACCCAGGACCATTCTGGAAGCCACAGTTTTCGATCTCGAAGCTGTCCTCGTCCAACGACGGATCCGTCACGGTCGTATCCGCGACTTTGGATCTGTTCTTGGGCAGACTCCTGCAAGAAGACTCCCACAGCCAGCCGTCTTGATTTAAGCATATCTCGCACAACCTATCCGCGTGATCCCTCACGGTCCAGGACCTGCAGATGAAGCATCCGTCCTCCAGGGTGTAAAAGTTGTCGTAACTGGGACTCGAGATTCCCTCTTCCGTTCTCAAGGACATTTCGTTAATGTCGCAACAAAGGGAACAGAACTCGTCGACCTCCATGTCCAGCTCGTTAGTCGTAATCAGCTGCGATGTGCTGTCCGCTTTGGAGGGGTCTTCGTAGCGCACCTCCTGCATCCTTTTGATGGACTCGTAGCTCTTCGACTTCTTCGAGAACATCTCGTCCGTTCTCGATCTTCTTCTGGACACCGTTCTCGAATCGTTGGACGCGATTACCGAGTCTAGGCTGCCTTTCAGCGACGAGTCGTATCGTCTGGCCTTTTTCGATTTCTCGTCGCTGGTCGTCGTGGATTCGTACGCTTCGCTGGCCACCTTCGATCGGGATCTCCTGGGGCTCCTCGACGACTTGGATACCGTCTTATAGAACGTCTCGTCGGATTGCGTGCAGGAGTCTGTGCTTTTCTTCTCCTTTTTCTCCGTTTTCTTCGCATCGTCGAGTTTCGTCTCGCTCTCGTACAACCTCATCTGACCGTTCTTCGTCCTCCTGGGACTCTTCCGAGCGTTCACCACGGACTTGACATACTTACCGTCGATCTCGATCGCGTCCCGTTTCGACGAGATCATCAATGAATCATTGGAGCTTTCTTTAGCGTTGTCGGACACGTCCTCGATTATTTCTTGTATCTTGACCGTACTCTCGTCGCTAAGGGACGACGGCACAGGCGACTGTACCAGCACGCTCAGCTTATCGATACTACCGTCGGATTCACCCTTGTATATCGTGATCTCGCTCTTACCCTGCACCTCGTTCTCCTCCATGATCAACGCTCCCTCCTTCTCGAACGGATTGTGGATCATGGCGCTAACTAACACTAACACCTGTGTATTGGGACATCGCACGGCATCGCTAGAAAAGATATCCTGATCTAAATCCTTTCGATCAACCTGCTCGTCCTTAGAGGTGTCGTCGTTCGAACGTTCTTTTTCTAACGGAGAATCTTCCCGGTTGTCGTCTTCGGCTGCATCGTCCAGACCGTATCGCGTGAGTCTGTAATCCTCCTTGTCCACGCTGAAGTCCGACAAGGCGCACTCGTGTCGTCCACTGTTATCGACCGCACACGTCGTGGAAACAACCGAAGACGATACCGGAGATTTGCTATCGCGTTCTTTCTTTAATCCTGCCTCATCGAGGTCGTTCTCGGGCAACGTTCGAACTACACCCTCGCTAGACTTAACGTTATCTTTAGTTTCGGAGCATTTCGCGTTAGCCTCGTGTTTCGACGAGGTGGCGACACGGCTAGGACATATCTCCTCCAGCTGACTGGATCGGGGCTGCACCCTGACGACCTTCCTGATCTTTCTATCATCGTCAACGAAGCCTACCTCGTCGAGGATCTGCGACTCGCCGGTTTCGGTGGCGATGATCTGTTTCGCGAGACCTGGATACGCGGCCTTCGCGGTCGTTATGTGTTTGGCGTTACCGTTCTCCGCCACGAGGGCGTTAATGAATTTCTCGCGAGCCTCCTCGAGGCCGCCGTGACGCGAGGCGACGCAAGCCACGCTCGTTGCGTTCTGGATATTCTTACGGAGAACCGTGTCAGGCACGTCGATGGATATTATTTCGATCGGACTCGGGGATTCCATGGTTACATCGCTAGGCGACGGCGTGAGAAAGGTGCTTTGGTACTTCGAATCAATGGTCAAGTAATTATTCGCGTTTGGCGAGGTCAGTTCCAACTTACTTCAGAGTCCAAGTGAAATTGGCAGCATGAAAAACAAAATTTTATGTTTTATATGGTTACGATTATCGATGTGATCGCTCGAAGATCGATTCAAGATGAAGCTCGAATATTTGCAAACCATCGCATGCGTTATAGTGATGGGTGACCCTTTGAGTTTAAATAAAATCAAAGACAAACGTGTTTTGTCTTCATCCATGAATCGGTATTCTTATAATAATAAAACGATCAAAGCTATTTAGCGAACAAAAAGGGAGACAAAAGAATACAATGATCGAGATTTATTGGCGATTACAGTATAAGGAAATTTGGTCTAGAAATTCAATTTACATATATAAATGGAAGACTTAGATTACATTCATATACTGCTGTATATCATTTGTACATGATACATTAACCCTTTCAATGCTCAATAAACATTGTTACATAGCTACAAATATTTAATAAGAATAAAATATCACCTAGCAAACCCGAGAATATGTACATCAGAATATATTTTTTTAAATGATTCTAACAAAATGTTATTATTATAAGTACACATATTTAATATTATATACATTGCTTACTATAATATTACTCTACAAAACTACCCTATTCGACTCAAACTATTTTCGGTCCCTTTTTTAAGGTACTATTGAGTGATAAAAGGGTTAATTTTTAAATATAAAATATACGATCGCATAGATTTGTGCAACAATATTACATCTTTGATCAATTGCGTACACTCTACACTCACCAACTACGTGGAATATGAATGCTATAAAAATATACAATTCTCGTACAAAATACATAAAAATAAATGTCTGTTCAAATCTACTAGAAGATACGCTATTAGGTTTCCACTATTTACCAATGATCTACAATTTCAGCTAAGTTATGTTAAACTCACATTGTCGACGATGTCTTTGCATCGTAAATCCCGTGTTTGTAGACATAGTCGATCACAGAATCTTGTAGGAGATATCTGACACTCTCGCCTCTCTTCAGTGCCCTTCTTATTCTAGTTGAGCTAACTTCGTTTGGAATCCACTCGGTCACTATGTATATATTGTGCTGTACACGAATAAATAACAAAATTCAGAAACACGTAACTAAATACAGTAAACTCTTTTAAATGGACAATTACCATATGTTTGGAAAGAATGTCCGAATCGTATATAAATTTATTGGGATTAGATCCTTCCCTAGTGATGACCACAAGACCATGTTCTCCAACGATTGCGTCAATCTGTAAATCAGATTATCCATTAGCTTATCGAGGTATTGATCAAAATAAATGGTGTACAAGATTAACTTACATCCTCTTCTGCCCAGAGATCATAAGTTCCAAAGCTCTCTAACAAATCAGCGCCGCACAATAATTTAATCTGAATGGGAGTGTGGTCAGAACAGTTCTTCACATTCTCTGGTATCCATTCCAAATCTTCGCTCGACACATTATGTTTAATATTGTTTGAATCAAATAGAACAGAGTTCAACAAATTCTGATGATGCTGTAAACTTATCCTAGTCTTTGTCCAACCATTCTGTCTAGTTTCCCATGAGCTAAGTTTAATCCAATCACTGTTCTGCAAGGCTAGCCTCAACATGGCACACCTGTGTGTAGCGCTTGCAAGTTCTTTTTTAGCATAAGCGTCGTGTACAGGCGATATAACACCACCAACCACGATATGAGTTCCCATTCTGTGAAGATGGTCTCTTGCTATCTCTGTAAAATTTGTATAAAATGTTAATACATACTCTTAATAATTACTTTTGCTGTTAGTAATGCATACCAATACAAATAAAAGTGTTAAATATAAAAAATAAGTGAATTATGATTAATAAATTGTTCTATTCAATTTTATAAGACCTCAAGTGTATTTTGAGTTTGATATATGTAGTTATATTAGTCGATGACATCAATTTCGATTGTTTACACGGTGTTATCTTAACTGTATTTGCTTATGTTTAAATAATTTATTGACTGTCGCGAAACATAACCTGTTCCATTATGCATATACGAGAACATTTTGTATTTACGTAAAGGCTGGGTATCGATTATAAGAAGTGATATATATGTACCAAACATTCTTAAATGCATATTGGTCGGAGGGTTATAACTGCCACAGGACATAAGAATAACACGCGTTGGTGCCATTTCTCCGCCTTTTATCTCGCTGCATGTGATGACAGCAGTTTTACAAAACTGCCGAAACTTCCTTCTCGAATTTTTGTACAAACAGAGCGCACAACATTTAATTTGATGCGTAATGACACCAGCTAAATCGTTGCGTGACACACAGTAACCAACAACCACACTGCGCGAACTGTACACGGGCTGACGTTTCAGCCATATTTGAAATAACGTGACTACTGTAGTCGATTGAGAGATGGTTATCGACATAATTCCAATAACCACTTCGAATTTCTTAATCTTTCTACATCAATTATTTTTTCATTTTATACATTAACAATCAATGTGGTTAAGTGGAAATTTATAAACGATATTCAATTGTTTATTCGACACACGCGGAAGTCAGCCACTTTTCTGTCAAAAGGATTTATAAAATGATTTATTGGATCGGCTTTGCGTGGTATGTATACGTGAGATCATTTTACCGGATGTCATGTTTTGGAATTAAAAGCTGATATCGTATCTATGTGATATCGTTTTCCTGAATATTTGAAACGAAAGGAAAGATTCATTTAATTTTTAAACTATTGTAAAACCTGTCTTGTGTCTTACTGACATTTTTTTTACAGTGAACATATTGAAGGCATCAGTAATGAATATCATAAAAAAATGTTAAGTGAAGAATAGTACTCATGAAGTAACCTAATATTTAGGGTACTCGTATCATCAAAAAGTCAATTACGTGTCATCACTAATTCAATCCACAATCAGAAACTCCAAACGATCTTACTTCTGCCAAAAGCCGCATTACGTAGAATCTAAAATTCAATTTGAGTGCTCCATTTTAGAATGATTCATGACACACATTTGAAAAATGGAGAAAATCTGTGGCATTTGACCGTCGGAACTGGTTTAATCTAATAATCCTTATTTCCCGTCTTACCTTTGCCAAGACCTAATTTATCTCGTTTCTTCGCCCTTCGGCCGTTCGCACCCTTAACCAGGTGGATTCGTCCTTGGGCGAAGGGTGCTCGAGGCGGTGAAGCAGCCGTGTATCGGCCATGCGGAAACGAGCTGCGTGTCGTTGATGCACGCTTCTGCAAAACTCGGTCGCCCGGAGGCTAAAGCTCGAGTAAGGGCGTAGGTTGGCCGGATTTTGCGTCGAGGGATCGATTGCACTAGGTGCTCGTAATTAGTGGAGTGCGTGGTAACGTGTGCTTCAAACGCTATTACGTCACGATCCGATCCAAGCACACTGCGAGTCTTCCAATAATTAGACTACGTCATCGTTCGCGTATGCATATTGCATTTTTGCCTGGGACAGGTATTCGGGTGATCAGTTGGATTAAGTTCTGAAAATCTGGGAATATTTGCAAATTTGTAATCGGAAAAATTTCTATATTTTTTATGTGTGATATTCAAGTTGAAGGGTGATCCTAAATGCGTTAATCTCTTCCTATAATTTCTGACGCTTAGTACATTCATTTTATCTAGCGTGAGTCAACCGGACGTGCATGTTTTCTTCAGATCGAAGTCCGGGATGAACGCTCGCTTTTGTTTACGTTCTTTCACAATCTGTTTCCGTTTTGACGTCAGTTTCTTTCCGCTTTGATATTCAAATTAGCGTACATCTTCAGGCAACTTTACTGACTCTGCGCTATTAATTAACGCGTTACATTGCCGCGCGAATCGTGGGAGTTCTTTCGTTTCTGGACGGTAATTGGAATGTATGAATAAAATTGTTGAGACAGCAGTTAGAGCAACAACCTGTTATCAAAGATCGACTGAAAGTCCCAAATATCTTATCAAGGATTTTGTTGTTTGTCGAGTCGATGCAATTTAAGATAGATCGTTACGATAATAAATTGGTAAGCGTTTAAGAATCAGTACTGCAGCGTGATCGCGTCTCATCATAAATTAAAACCCTCGTTTCTCGGAAAGAACGAGCGACGTCACCGTAATTTTTGTCCTCGCACAACTAAGAAAATCAATACTCTGATACGGTTATAAATCCACAAGATGGCGACAGAACGTGGGTATCTTTAGCGTTTGATCTTTCGCGGGAGGCGAATCTCTTCGAGTGACGAATAAAAATGGGAGGATCGACGTGCACCACCGATAGATAACTTATCTTCGGAGTTCGTCGAAATATCCGGGCAATACGAGGCGAATTCAATTTTCTTCGATGCTTCCAATTCGAAAAACGATTATTTTTATGCAAACTACTTTCGAAGTAAATTAAAAAACTTGCAAATTCTTCGTTATTTCGAATTTGGGGAAATGCAGGATGCAACGCTGAAAGAATAACAAGGACTCGGGCTTTAATAATACACAAATTTTATTTTATTCATTTTTTTTTTGTCTGTTTCTTCCCGCAGAATCGAGGAAATCATTTGTTTGAGAGAACAAAACCTCTGCAATACGAATAGCAGTTACAAGTAAATATGTACAATAATATAAGTGGTTGCCTTTCCTTTCATATTATTTCTTTTTTTTGTCATTTTTTTCTTTTTAATCATCTGGTTCCTGTTTGTCCGTCCGGTATTTATTCCTACTTTCGCGAGCTGTGTTAATGGATAATCAATTAATTAAGAATAATCATAATAATTATAAGAATCGCACTGAATCGTTACGTTATAATATCCGTCCGGAATTAAAACGGAGGCTTCAATCGTAGGCATACCAAATCGCGACAAATATTGACAAATTGACAAAAACATGCCTCTCGTGTTTCTTCCGCTTCTCAATACCATTCCATCGATCTCTCATTCGCTTTTTGTTTAAACTCTCTCTCAATTTTCACTCTACAATTTCGTATTTTCCATTCACACCCCTTTGCACGATCTTACAATGTTTTTCTTCGTTTAACAATCTTTGTTTCAAGCTGCAATTTTACATATATACTCGTTGCGAATCATCGGTTCCTAAGATTAAGTCCGCTAAAGCAAATCCCTACCGTTGATTAAATGCTCATTGCGAAAAGAGAGCTCAACGTGGCATCTCGAGGACCGTTTCGTGTATCGTTCTCTCTCCCTTCCTCTCTCTCACTCACACACGCGCGCATGCACTCGCACATTTTCTGTCTCACTCGCAAAATTCTCCACGCTCTACCTGTCCACCCAATTTTCACCTCTGTCTTATCCCCCCGTTCCCTTCGTTCAAGCCGTTTCGTCGGTTACAACCCCTCGAGGATCGTCCTTGCCGGTTACGCGCGGCCTCGTATCATCCTCTTTTATCCCCGCTACAGCCAGAGAGGTCTTTTTTGTCCGTGGCTCAACAACGACCGAGAAAAGGACCGCACTTTTCGTCTGAAGGAGTATCGCCACGCGGCAATTGCGCGATTGCAACGTCCGCACCCGTGAAAACCTTTTTTTCCTAACCTCTCTCGCCACTTTCCTCTTCCATTCGTCTTTCGCTCGCGCGTTTTTCTTTCCCGATCACCGATTCTCGAAAGTCGAGTTTCGAATCGAGCTACACCGTCCAACAAATTCTCCGAACGAGATAAGTCTTGGACTTATTGTTCCGGGCCACTTCGAGTTAGCGACGATATTGTCTGTCTACGAACGATAAAACTGCTGTCATCAACGATAACTCTTCTATCGCGAGCTTAAAACCGCTGCCACTCGCGATAAAATCGTTGTTACCGCGTTTAAAACCGATACTCCGAGCTTAGGGCCGCTTTCATGGGCAATCAAACCGCTACCACGAGCACTAAACCTGTTGTTGACAGTTTAGAACCGTGACCACGAGTGAGAAAGTCGTTGCTGCGAATTCAAAACCGTTAACACCCGCTATCACGAGCGATAAAGCCGCTACCACGAATAATAAAGCCGATGGAATCGTTACCGCGATAACGTCGTTTCAGCGAGCTTGAAGCCGCTGCCACGAGCGAGTTTTAAAATCGTTAGGACCAATAACGTCGCTACAGCGAACTTAAAGCCGCGATTCTTGGACAGCGCTTCAGAGAATCTATTCGCGATTTACGGTTGTAAAGATTAGCGAATTTCTTGAACAATTATTGCAAACGACTTTCGGATCGAGAATCGATGAACGCCGATTCGAAGCGACGAGTCGCGAGCGCAATGGACGATCCTCGAGCGCAACAAGAGACGACGACGCTCTCGTTAACAGATCTCTTTTTTTTTCGTATTTTCTTTTTGGAAATGTCTTTTTGTTGTGTATTCTTTTTTTTGTTTGCTTTCGTGGTTGTTGACGTTTTTCATCTTCTTCCTCTTTGAAAAAAGAAAAGCCCACCTCGCAATGATACGTTCATGCACGACGTGCACGGTTTTTTCTTTTTAAAAAAGGTACCCGTCGACCTTTCCTGTTCATAACGCTTCTCCCTCGTACTTCTCTCTTTTTTATTTATTTATGTATTTTTTTGTTTGTTTGTTTGTCGTTAAATAGTAATCATCTAAACAATGAAAGCGGCAAAACGTCTCGAGGAAAAAGGTGTCCCTGAGCGCGACGAAGGGAGACGACCACACCTTTTGTTTCGCTTCTTTGGGAGGGAAGAAATAAAATAAAAAGAAAAGAGACACGCCTACGTCGCCCTTCGTCGTCTTCGTCTCTTTCACGCCCACGATTATTAGTCGCACCTGCACAGGACTGGGCGACACGTTCAGTGTTTATTTTTAATCTTTTTTTTTAATAAAAAATGATTTCAACTATCAGAAGGATTGTTTCGACTCTTCTCGCTTTTTGGTTCCATTTTGTTTCTTCTTTTGTTTGGTCGAAATGTTCAGGATGTAACACGGATCCTCTCTTTCTCTCCCTTTCTCGTTCTCGCTCTCTCTCTCGCTCTCTGTACGTACGGAATTCGTCCTGCGCAGGTATTCGTAAAAAGAAGGGACGCTCTTCTCAAAAAGTTGCATCATTTTGTGAAATCGCATCAACTAAGTTCCTATGTTCATTTAAATCCTTATTACAAGTTACGGTAGTAATAGTAGTAGAAGTAGTAGCAGCAGTAGTAGTAATAGTAGTAGTAGTAGTAGTAGTAGTATTAATAGTAGGTTTCTCATTTTTTTATTCCTTTTTTTATATGTTTAAGCATTTTTTTATCCTTTAGTTTTTCTGGTTCTGATAATCTAATAGACATCTAAAAATAACACCCATTTTTTTCATTATTATTATTTCATATTTGTATTTTTTTTCCTCCCCACCGTCATCCTCTTCCTCTCCCTTTCTTTCTTCCTTTCGCTCTCTCTCTCGCTCTCTCTTTCTCTCTCGTTCTCTCTCTCTCTCTCGCGATCTCTTTCTCTCTTTTTTTTATATTTTTACTTTTAGTTATCGATCATCAAGTTATTACTTAAAGGTTCCTTAAACGTTAGACTGACGATCGCGAAATGGGCTCGAGGATCGAAAGTAATAGAAACGCGTAAGAAAAGGAAAATATCCTGAACGAATAGTACGGTTGAACGAATTACACGGCACCCTCGAGTCCAGAACGGAACGCAGTTTTCACTTTTGCATTATCCACTGTTTGAATTATACATCTTACATATATTTCTAGCGGCTGGAGTAACAAGTATTTTTTTGTTTTTGTCATTCGTTTTGTCAGCTCAATACTGCATCAATTCATATTGCTGCTGTTGTGATCTGTGCCCAAACCGTCATTCGCGATAAAAACCATCCACTCAATACTCCTGCGTCTCTTCCCCGCCTTCAACCCCTCTTTTATCCCTCTTCGTTTTCTCGCATTCTCTCTGTCTCTTTCATACAGGAAAAAAAGCATACACACACGTGTCTGACCCTCTTTCATGCGTTGGTGCATCGATCTTTTTTCAGTTACACCCCTTAACCCCCGAAAACCTGCTTCCTCTTCTCTTTCTTTCCCTTCTTTTTTTATTTTTAAATATCCTCGTCGATTCCCTCTCGTTTAATCCTCCGCTTCCCTCCGCCTCATCGTATGCTTCCCTCTCGTGTTAATTTTAATATCACATTTTCGTGGGTACAGACCGGCCCGATATATCCTTGAAACAACGGAATTTCTGGGGTGAAAACGCAAATCGATCGTTGCTCGGATTATTTTTTCAAGAAACGAGGCTGAGCACTCGACACTTTTTTTCGACCGAACAGAAACCTTCGGGATACGTTCACCATTGTGAATTTCGTTCGGTTGAAAAGGAAATAGTACGGTTTCGATTGTTTCTAAAGTCAAAATCAAATTCTAAAGAAACGCTCTTTCGAATTTTATTCGAATAACAAAATTTAACAATTATACAAATTTATAATTCGACCACGAGGGTGAACGTATACCCTCGAATATCGAAAGAAAAAGGAAAAAGATGAAATTTCGTTCGTAATCCTGATTTCGGAAATATTTTCGATTCGTCTCTGCGTTCTCCTTAATAATACATCGGGCGAGCGTGTCCCTATTTAATATATAGAATACATACATCTTTATCACGCTACAAGGTACTACGAACCCAGATTTAAAACGATAAAATTCATCGTTTCTCGTTTTGTTTTTTTTTCTTTTCTTTTTATTTTTCTTTGTCGTAAGAGATATACGGCACGTACAACGACTGGATGGCAACGACGAAAACGAAAGCAAAAGTCACGAATGTAAAAAAAAAAAAAACGAAAAGAGAAAGGAAAATGAACGATTAACTTACGAAGGTGCGTTCATCAACGATCTACACGTTCAAGAGACATTCATCGTTAATCACTTAATGAAACCTCTTACATGTAAAATGTTAATTATGTGTGTTTTTATTTTTTATTTTTTATTATTATTCATTTGCTCGTTATCCCTCCCCAGACCCAACAGGTCTCTTTTTTTTGTTGTAGACGTTTTTGTGTTTGTAATTTATGCATTCTTTTTTTCTTCGTTTTTGTATATATGTATGCGTGTATTTTTTTTTTTTTTGGTTTGTGGTGGTTTTTGGTGGTTCCCTCGTTTCCACTCGTTCGCCCATTCTAGAAATCCACGTCTTCCGTTTCACCCTATTCTTCGTCGTCCGTTGAACGACAGCCAACAATGTTTAACGCGAGAAAAATCGACACGGCAGAAAATGCAAGTCGAACCTCGTTCTTCGCATCAAGAAATCGTTTTTCGATAAATAAATAATTCCCTCAACTGAAAATTTGCTCGTTTTCGTCGTTGCACGATTAAAAAAAAAATAAGAGAAACAAGGAGGAAAGGTCCAAGTAGGAGACATTTTCGAGGACTTCGAACAAAATGTCCGCCACGTTAAATCTTCTTCCGTTTGTTTCGAGTCCCATCGTTTTTTGTGTTTGATGTGTTTTGGCCGCGGTTAATCCTCTGCAACAACCAATATGATTGCGTTTCAACTATAGAATATGGTCGATTGTTGATACAACAACGACTGCGGGAGTAATCGTTTACGTTTAACGTTAAAAAGTCGCGGCTTGCCTTGCTGAAAATATTTCATTCGGCTTGGTCGCTTTTCCGGATGGGACTCGAGTGTTCATTTCTTCCTTTCTTTTTTATTTGTGTTTCCGCAGCAAGATCAATCTTCGAAACTGCCTCCTCCTTTTTCACGTTGGCTGTCGTTCGAAAAGATTGCGTCCTTCTTAACCCCTCCTCGAATTTAATCGACGAGAACATCGTTTCCGTCGTCCCTGTTCGATTTCTGCGTTGTTCGTCGAAGAATCAACTACCACCCGTTCGTTTCGATTAACCCTTCGATGGATACTCGAATTTTCTTTGCACGGTCATGACAATTCTTCCTTACAACATATTCCTTCATTTCCTGCAATTTATACCGATTGTTATTCAAATAATAGGAAAATTATTTAGTTTTAGTAGGAAAAATAACATAATAGAAATTTTGTCTGAGCCAGGTTTTTTTTACTTCATTCGTTTATAAACGTGGGAATTCAGAATGTTGAAAAATTTAGTAACCCAAAGACAAATTTGAAAATCTGGGAAACAAAGATTTAGAAACTTGAAAACTTAGCGAGCTAAATTACCAAATTTCCAAACTCTCCCTTCACAAATTCCCAAATTCTCAAATTAAGTAGGGTTGCAGCCACCTAAGGGTTAATCGAAGGGTACTGTGCGAGAAAATTGTCCGAAAGGTGTGTTTCAAATTTGGTTCGCCCAACCCCCTTGACGTACTTCGAGATCCTTGTATATCCCCAATGGTTAACCTCCTATTTTTTTTCATTTTTCGTTTGTTATCGTTTTCTTACAAACTAACGCCGTTTAAAACCGTTGTTTATTTGTTTGTTTTTTTTTGTTCAGAGATCACTCGTTACGTTTGGTAATCAGTCTATCTGGTCTGCGTAAACCTAGCCGGAAAACTCGACTCCGTGTATCTCGAACGATTCCTGCCTCGCTGTTTCGATCCAAGAAGGTGATCGATCTTCGAGCCTGCTACTCTTCCGAAAAGACTTTGAGTCGCTTACGACCCGAGGTTCTTCAAACCCGGAACTTCAATTTATAATCTTTCGCTGTAGTTCGATTATAATCGGTACAGTTTTAATACTTCGTGATCAAAATTTAACGCTATAATTTACGACCTCGCTGTATCGTTCGAATCGTACACGGTATACGCTAGCGACATAGCGCGATCGTAAAACAAGTAAAAAGCGAAAATCTAGAAAATTTGGTCGCCGAAACACGAGTACGAAAAGTGGTACAGTAGACTCTCGTTGCATCGCAGGCTAGTGGCGCCCTCCCTTTTTGGTTAAACCGATCCTAAAAATTTCTTGCATCTACGTCGGCAATATAACGGGAGTCTACCGTAGGTTAACGGGGAGTTTGAATCAGGGCCGTAAGACGCAAAGTTGGAATTCGTATGGATCGTAAAAAGGTTTGCGAGGGAGCCGGTCAGATCTTGCCTGGTAAAGTTTCACTCGAGCCGCAAAGTGGAAGCTTTAGTCAGGGGTCGATCTTGTTGCGTTCGTCTTTATACTTCGTAACAGGCTCCCTTTTGTCGATCGATCTTCCCTTCGAGGAACTCTTTGGACCCATTTACGACCTTATTTTCTTTCGAAACGTTCTCTGTCACGACGTTCTTTTGATCGTAGCAGTCGCGGAAATATAGCGTAGTTCAACTGGTTCGTAAAAAATCTAAACCCCGCTGTTGCTTTCACCGCAGTTCGTGTTCCCCTGGAATTTCGAATGCTCCTCTTGAAAATTTCGAAATTCTCCAACCTTCAAATTCTTATATCGTGAAATTCGCTATATTTCTACTTCTACTATACCATCTCCTCTCTCTTACACGCACACATACCAGAAACATTGTATTACACTCGACACCTGTGCCCGCGCATTCTTCTTTCCTCTACCCTGGCCGTTTCAAAGTAAAACCGAATCGTCGTTTCTTTTTCCGCGGAACGACAACAACAACAACAGGTGGTGGCGGTGTCCTGGTACATCCTCGAACAACCAACGAGGGACTTCACAGAATTTGTACTCTTTGAATGCGTGTATTACAACGAAACGAGGTTAAACACACGTTTCACTTATTACGATTAGAGCGTACGTTTAAAGAATTAAACTCGTCCCGTATTTATCACGGCGCAATCACCCCCCTCCCCCCTCCCTCCCATTCGACCCTCCCTTAATTAATACAGAAATCTAATATGTGTGCCATCGTGTGCAGGTGAACATACACACACACACGACGGTTCTTCATACGGTGTATGTGTTATTCTCTTTTTTTTTGCTTCGTTTTATCTCTTATCCTTCTTTTTTTCGAACATTTTTATCATTTTATCTTCGTGTACGTGTATGTATGTGTGTGTATGCATGCATGCGCGTGATTTTTGTCGATGTCCTCTCGACTGTTACCCCTCTGTCTTTGTTAATTAACCGTAGGGCTACCGAAGAAATCCGTCTTCGCGAAGAAATCCGTCTCCCTTCTCGACAACGATCCCATTCGTTCCCTCTTTATCCCCTTCTTCACCCTTGATTTTCCTCTAACTCCGTTTACACGCCCTTCCGCAATGATCTTCTTCGCGCAAAATAAAGATTCCTCATCGTTTCCCGCGAAAAAGCGAAGACGTCTCCATTTTCGAGTGTTTTTTTCGGCTTCCCTCGCGATCAGAGGCGACAAGGGGTTTGCTCGAATCGGATCTCTTTGGCCGGGGATCGAAAAACGACGAAGACAGAAACAAACCGTGTCTAGAGATGGGATCGAGTTTTAGAAGTACAGTCGAGTGCAACTTAGGCTTATCGAACGCGATGACCCAGGATTCGCCGGTGAATTCTTGCGGTGTTCATCCATATTAGGCTATCCCTCCAGGTGATCTAACTCTTCGAGGTTCTTCGTTTCCTTCAGGTTCCCTCAAAACCTTTGCCCTTCGTCCTGAAGATGAATTTGTTCGGGAAGAGATCTTCCTCCGTTTCTTTCGGATTTCTCTGCGATTTCCAGGATTCCCATAACCGAAGAAAATTGCATCGCCATCCGAGAAAAGATCCTAGTTAGTCCGCAGATTCTTCCAAAGTTCCGAAATGTTCCCTCCTCGATCGAGAAACCCACGTTGCACCCGAGTGTCGGGATCGAAGTTTTTCTTCGAGAAATTCGAATACTACCCGTAACAGGTTGTACTTGAAATACTGGGATAGTATTTCGAAAGGATAGTAGTCGAATCCCGAAGACAGCAGAAAAGTCCAGATACGAGAGTGACGCGATACTCGTAAAAGGTTCCGAATGTTGGATCCCATCGCTAGCGCCCTCTTGTTCGAAAGCAAAAGCAAGCGAGACAAATGAAAAGACGAAAACCGATCGCAAGAACGACGGTGGCGAGAAATTTGGTCGAACAGATCGACAAGAATCCTTGTTCCTCTTCTGGGGTCAACATCCCGATGAAATTCGGCACGAAGAAACGGGCGAGAAAGATCGGATAAAAGGAGACGATCCGCGATCGGTACACACGGTTCGCAGAATGTATCCAGCATCAACGTGTCCCTCTTGATCGACTCGAGTCGATCCGTTGAAATCTTGTCCGTCAACAACCGAGTTCTTGTTTCTCGTTCGCTGTCTCTTCCCTTTTTTGTTTCTCCTCGCAAGAATTTAGTCTCCCTTAAAAATATGTACAAGCCTCGACGACAATTTACACGCGACCAATTCAGCTTCTTCAACGTTTCTTCCTCGAGGACGATTTCCTTCGATCGAGGATGCTGAGTCCGTTCGCCAGTTGGTCAGTTTCGTTTAATCGGCAAAGTTACTCGGTTCCTTTGGCCCGATTTCCAGCGTCCGTGTACGCGGCTGCACATCGCGTTAACACGTTCGGTCCCAGGGTGACAGGTGCACGGATCGCTGCCTCTATGGAACGCGTATTGTTACACCGTTGGGTCTGAAAGTGTTAAGTGTTCTCCTCAGTGGACAGAGATGTGTATCCGCGTACGAGCCAGCCGATACTTTTCCGTTCTTCCGGTTCCGAGCTTCTCCGTGTCTCTTCCCGCTCTTCCAAACCCTTTTCTCGTCGTTTCTTCGCCCTCGAACGATCCTCCTCCGCTTCCTTCTGCCGCCACCGCGCCACCTCTTCTTTGTCTGCAAACAGCCCGAAGGCACGGACGTGAAAATTTATTTGTCCAGGATTTGTGGCTCATTTTTCCGCTTGCCCCCATCCCCTTTTTCTACACCCTATAAACCTTCCGCAACAACTTGGAGATTTACATCCTACCGCTTTTTTCGTTAGGGGGAATATTGGCATCGATTCGATTCTGACTTCTTAAACTCTTCACTCGACTAGAATATTTTATCGAGGGGAATTTTTATGCGAACTTATTCTAATTCAATTTAAAATCACAAAAAATTTCAGAATTTTTTAATTCAAGAATTTATGAAACCGAAACTATATCGATTAAACTGTGTTTCTCTTATTAGTGCGGGCAGATAGTAAATCTCCGGAATGGTTGCATACCGGGATAATAGACGTCAATCTCTCAAAGGGAAGGATATTACTTTGTCTTTTAAATTCCTAACTCGAGACACGTTGCATTCGAAACGGTAAAATTATTCCAGATTCCTGGAAGATCAAGCAAAGTACGAGGTTCCAGCGCTGAAGAAGCTCGGCTTTTAATCTTTCTCCCGAAGCTACGTTACTTCTTGAATCTTTATTCTCACGAAATTTACAGTCGGCGAAGGTGGATTTCAGGAAGCGGAAAATAAAATAGAACCCCGTGGACTGTACCCTATAAAACATGGCCGGAGCTTCAAAAGAGCCCTGCATTGTTCTTGCTTCTTTTTAAACGCTCTCCTGCTACATTGTGCTATTAAAACAAACGTATATCTTTCTCTTCCAGGAATTTCTGGTCGTATGATCTTCGTTTCAGAAACTTTCAAAGTTACATTCCGCGAAGTGCCGAGTCAGGATAAAGTTTCGTTTCTTCTTTTATCAAGAAGCTGTTTCAGAGATAGTTCTTTTAAAAAAAGAGAGAGGCAATACCTCAAATGCTTCGAGAACCTTTTCCGTCGTGGAAATAAAATGATACAATCGCTGACGTAATATTTAATTTGTCTAAAATGCAAACGGTTGAGTCATCGAGTACGATAAGCCTGAATTATTGCTCGTCGACAGGTAACGAGTCGAACCTAATGGCATCATCTGTTTCATCTAGATGAAGCGTCCGTTTTATTGAAAAATAGGAAAATATGGACGTCGTTTATTCAACGGTTCATTGAAAAATAAGAAGAATGTGCCTCGTTCCGACACGAAATATTGGAAATTTCGAAACTTTGATATACGAGCGAATTAACTGAATACGTTTCTATCGATTCGAAGGTGAATCATCAAGAAGGTTCGAGGTTAGAAAATGATTTGGATACACACCTGATACGTACCTAAAGATTGTCCATCATTTCGGAAAGGGTCAGCCTGGATGTGGACATTGCGACGCCACTGTCGCTGCTGCTCTGCACGCTGCTGTGATCATCGGTGTCCGACTGGTTGCTCGTGTACCCGATCACGTCTACTTCATCTGCAAATCAGAAATTGCTCGCATTAGAATTTTCTTTCAATTTCTCTATTACAATTCATGTTCTTCAAAAATACAGAGATGTAGGAATTTTAAAGATGCACCGATTAGAGGACATAGCGAGACCTGGACGAGTAGTTTTAAGATCCAGAGCAAGTCTAGAACAAGACTAGAGGTCTAAAACGTTAAGGAGATAAAGAAGAAGGTATATTTAGGTATTTAAAATTATGCTTCAAGCCTCATATCATTGACATATTCAAGAACAGCTCACATAATAGCTAGCGAGGAGTTTCATTGGCAAAATATGGCTCGGTTCTTAATACGTTCAGACGCTTTCAAGAACAGCTAAACCTCACATAATCATAGCGAGAACTGGACGAGTAATTTTGAGATACAGAGCAAGTCTAGAACAAGACTAGAGGTCTAAAACATTAAGGAGATAAAGAAGAAGGTATATTTAGGTATTTAAAATTATGCTTCAAGCCTCATATCATTGACATATTCAAGAACAGCTCACATAATAGCTAGCGAGGAGTAAATTCAAGAACAGCTAAACCGCACATAATCATAGCGAGAACTGGACGAGTAATTTTGAGATACAGAGCAAGTCTAGAACAAGACTAGAGGTCTAAAACGTTAAGGAGGTAAAGAGGAAGGGCTGTGTATATTTAGGTATTTAGAAATATTCTTCAAGCTTCATATTGTTAATAAATTCAAGAACAGCTAAACTTCACATAATCATAGCGAGAACTGGACGAGTAATTTTGAGATACAGAGCAAGTCTAGAACAAGACTAGAGGTCTAAAACATTAAGGAGATAAAGAAGAAGGTATATTTAGGTATTTAAAATTATGCTTCAAGCCTCATATCATTGACATATTCAAGAACAGCTCACATAATAGCTAGCGAGGAGTTTCATTGGCAAAATATGGCTCGGTTCTTAATACGTTCAGACGCGAACAGGTTGTACGAAAAGTTGGACAAAAGCCACGAGAAATCGATCGAATATCTCGCGTCATACGGTGGCTCGTTAGATAATTTAAAAAACGCAGGTGCGCAGGATGCGAGTAGTAAATTGTAGATGCGATTGGACAGCTGTGGCTCATAAATATAAGCACGGCAACAATTCGAGACTGGTTCGCGAATTCCGTTGTCGAATCGATACCGGGCCGCACACCGTTTCAAATTCACGGTACACACGTGCCGGTAGGCAGACGATTTTCCTGCACGTGTACCCTTCTCTCGCTCTCTCCGCCGCTGTCCAATAATCCCTGTTCGAAATGCCAGCCAATTTTCGTATTTTACCATTTCATGAAAGCGTTCATCGGATATGCACGCGTTTCTCCATGTTGGTTTGGAACACGTCGATTCGCGTAATCCTCGTTGGAAACACGTACCGTAGCATTGGCGTAGTTATCCAGTTAAGTAAGGACCAGGATGGAATTGCACCCCCTTCCGGAATAATTGCCATCGGTCGGTGGAAATTATTAATACGTAACGATAAATATTTATCGAGTCGTTCGATTTTATCTTATTGACGTATTATCGTGCAATCTCGTTTTATAACGAATAAATAATGTTACGTAATTGCATCGACGGTAATTATCGTTTCCCTTTGGAAAATTTTACCGAAAAAGACTTTACCGAGCGATATTATTGCTTCGAAGGGAACATAAAGGGTTCGAAAGCCCATCGTCAGCTGGAAAGAATTAACCGAACTTCTTTTTCACCTGAAAAGCCCCGTCATCCCTCTGCAGGAAACTTTCCTATCGGATGATCAATTTATCGTCGAATTATCTTACGGTCTTTTCCGAAAATATCTATCCGGCAATATCCATAAAGTATCACCATGAGACCTTATTTTCTTGGGACGGTGCGGATAAACCGAAGGGAGGAAAAAAAACATTGCCGAGAGAGAAGAGTCTTTGTCTGCGGTCTGAAAAATCCGACCCTTTATCGCGGTACCTCCTTGACCTGTAGCAACCTTCCTCGATCGTTCGATGAAAAAAATGCCGCGATAGAACGAATTTTATGAATCGTAACTCCTCTTACGTGAACCTATTATACGTCAAGGTGTCTCGTTAACCTGTACCCGGTGTTTCTTCGAATACAATTTTAACGATTTATTTCGGGACGTTCATTTCGCAATCGGTGTTTAAAATGAAACCTGCCATCATGGATGTTTTATATATTTATGCAGATGTGATCATTCTCGATCAGAATGACGCATAAATTCGATGTTCATACGAAGAAAATATAACCATCGAAAAGTCGGTGCATAATTGAACGAATTTCGAGTTTCGTTCGTTTAAACGGACGATGAAACTGGACGGAATTAACTCGTTGATAAATTTTCTGGACCCCAGCTGGTTCGATCAAACTGATCGGTTCATTTCGTTATTGACATGCCTGTCACGGCCAGAATATTTAGAACTCTTTCGTGCCTGTCGCTTACAATTCCAAAAAACTAAGTGTGCACAAAAATGACTCGAAAAGTCCAGCTGTTCGAGTGAACAATTTTCGCGTAAATCAAATTTGTATCGGCGTATCGATCGATAAATCAATCGAAACGAGATTACGGAGCGTATTACGAAGGTAATCATCCACTTATCGGGAAATAATATTTCTTAATTTCGTTCGAATACGTTTGGAAGAAGGCGACCACACGAGTCCATCGCATACCGCAAAAGTTCAACGATCTGCACCGAACGAAGCGTCCGATTCCTCGAAATATCGCCACGCTTTTTAGCTAACCGCTCTCGTACTTATAAATTGCTGATTTACACGACCGCGATAACGCCATTACGGAATGGCCGTGCGCTGTGGGTTTCCTCGTCGCGGTTTTTTGCGATCCGGCTAAAGGCGTTTCACTTCGCGAAGCTCTCTTTTTGCCGCGACACAACGAGACTTTGTTTCTATTCGAATTGAAGTAACGACTCAAGAGGGAACAACGCTAAAAAAGTTAATTACGCAGAGAATATGTTCTACCTTGTCTTTGGGTAATGACTCTTTAGGGTCCAAGAGAAACTTTACGATTTTTTATCGAATCGTAACAAAGGAGTGTTTTCTTGGGAGGCGAGCAATGCTTAAAACCAAGTCGATTAAATAGAAAATATTGATGTTCCTTCTCGAAATTTTCCGTAATTTCTCCATATCGAAAGGCAATCGTACGATTTTTGATCAGAGGGGTGTTTTCCTCGGAGGAAACGCCTTGGCTCGCGAGAACCGCTTGAAAATATTTTTAACGAACCACCAACAGGGATTATTTTCGGTCGCTGACACACTTTGCCTCCCTCGGGAAGGAGAAGAGGGCGAACAAATCGGATCGAGGGAGAAACAGAGACGGCGAACCCTCTCGCTTTTTCCCATTACCTTCTCTCGCCACGTTCCTCCCTGCCCCTTTATTCCCCGACTACAAGTTGGCCAAACAAACGCTCTCCGGCGATTGCGTCACCGCGTTAAGGAGTGCCTCCGGTTGTTTACAATTATTTTCGTCGTCGGTTTTCCACGAGCAGCCACGCCACGATCCGCCAAAGCGCCACGCTAAAGATAGACAACCGCCATTGATTCGTGACGAGCACGCTTGCGAAATACCCGCGGAATTTCTGCACGCTTCGAACTGCGCGCGGATCGCGCGCGCGAAAATACCTGCACGCTGCGAATAAATTACATATTCCACTGATTTCTCTCTGTGCGCCTGATCAAACGTGGCTGTTCACAAAATGCCTGTATAGTAGCGTAATGAGATACTAAAATACATTTCTATCGAAAAAACCAAGGAAGTTGACTGATATTTTATGAAGTTAAAATACAAGGAATGATAGTGACTGATAGTTGATGAACATAAAGTACAAGGAATGATGTAGACTGATAATTTATGAACTTAATATACAAGGAATGGTATAGACTGATAGTTGATGAACATAAAGTACAAGGAATGATGTAGACTGATAATTTGGGAGCATAAAATATAAGGAATGATATAGACTGATAGTTGATGAACATAAAGTACAAGGAATGATACAGACTGATAGTTTTATGAACTTCAAATACAAGGAATGATATTGACTGATAGTTGAAGAATATAAAGTACAAGGAATGATGTAAACTGATAATTTGGGAGCATAAAATAGAAGGAATGATATAGACTGATAGTTGATGAACATAAAGTACAAGGAATGATGTAGACTGATAATTTATGAACATAAAATACAAGGAATGAAATTGACTGATATTTTATGAACTTAAAATACAAGGAATGATATAGACTGATAGTTAATGAACATAAAGTACAAGCAATGAAACTGACTGATATTTCATGAACATAAAATACAAAGAATGATACAGACTGATAATTTGTGAACATAAAGTACAAGCAATGAAACTGACTGATAGTTAATGAACATAAAGTGCAAGGAATGATATAGACTGATAGTTTATGAACATAAAGTACAAAGAATGAAGCTGACTGATATTTCATGAACATAAAATACAAAGAATGATATAGACTGATATTTCATGAACATAAGATACAAGGAATGATATAGACTGATAGTTTATGAACATAAAATACAAGGAATGATATAGACTGATAGTTAATGAACATAAAGTACAAGCAATGAAACTGACTGATATTTCATGAACATAAAATACAAAGAATGATACAGACTGATAATTTGTGAACATAAAGTACAAGCAATGAAACTGACTGATAGTTAATGAACATAAAGTGCAAGGAATGATATAGACTGATAGTTTATGAACACAAAAAATGATGAAAGATTCGATGTACGTGGAGGAGCGGAATCATCGTGGAATCACGGTGAGAACGTGTGGAGATGCGTCGCTTTTTACAACGATTTCGGGGGAGAATTCGTTGCCCCCGAAACGAGCAGACACGAGCACGAAACAAATCACGGTAGCACGGGGTGTTGCAACACCGGCGAGCAAAATAAAGAAAAATCAGAAAAGAGAACCTGGGGAAATTTCTGCCGCGACTGATT